TATTGCATAACAGTAAATCTTCTATTTTTTGGTTTGAATAAAAATTCATAATGTGAATAAAAAATAAAAATGGAATTCATTTGTAAAGCCTGAAAATGTAACTAATGAACAGAGGAAATGTTAGTTTAGTGCCAGGAATACCTACATTGTTTACTCTGGACCCTATTTTGAAATTGGAATATTTTGAACTTTGTGTTAAATTGGCCAAATTACCAATTTCCGATCACTTTATTTTGTAGTTGAAACAGTTGACTTGGCAATTTCTTGTTCTCAATCGATAGAATAGAAGTAATACTAGTGAAATAGCTAAGAATTTGGTCGACTGAAATAATGTAATTGGCCTAAAATGGGAGTCAAAGTCAGCAAAATCGCCGATTCGTAAAAATCGCGGACACATCAAAATTTGCGAGAGCATAATTTCGTCAATTTTCCATCAAATTTCGTACTTTTTGTTTTATTACCTTCATAAAAATATTCTCTACCATTTCATAAGAAAAAATAACAATTTTTTTTTTTTAAATTCTTGGACCCTGGTGCACACTTTGAAATTTGGCCTCTGGACCCTGAAAGGGTTAAGAAATACACAAGATAGGAAGTTTAGTGTACGTAAAAATTATCTGTCATCTCGCAAGTCCATGAGACAGAAAGAAAAGACCAACATTCCTGCCAGACTAGAAAAATGTTTAACAGACTTAGCTTTTGCACTTAGAGACTATTTCCTAGCAGAATGCCAATAGAATGAAAAAATTTCATGATACTGGTGTTGTCAGCAACAATATGATGTGTTATCAGTAACAGTTAGAGTTATCATCAATATTAAGAAAGATGTCAGTAGCAATAAGAAATCTGTTGTCAGCAACAATAAGAAAGCTGTTGTCAGCAACAATAAGAAAGGTGCTGTCAGCAACAATAAGATAAGTACTGTCAGTAGAAAGTCAGTATTAATGATGTTCTGCATTGTATGGCATCTAATTGACTACTATTTCCTTAAACATCAGTGGCAATGCAGTTCACCATTGCACTCCCAACCATTATGTATTTACTGATACAAGACAGTTTGTCCTTGTCTTAAAATGTAGTGATATGTTGTCCCAATACAGTTGTTTCAGGACATACAATACTTATTTTCTCTATTACAGTATGTCCATATTCATGATTTTAGCTACTCACTGTCTCTGATATAATGGTATATTATCCACAACATATTTGCATGGGACAAAGAGAATAACTTGGAGAACATATAAATCTACAGGGGAAGGAAGGTGGGGTAGGGGTCATCCTTGAAAAGGTTGGAGGGAGGGGGTAAAGGTTTTGTGGGCGAGAGGCTTGGACTTCCAGCAAGCGTGCGTGAGCGTGTCAGATAAGAGTGAATGGTTTTTAGGACCTGACGAGCTATTGGAGTGTGAGCAGGGTAATATTTTGTGAAGGAATTCAGGGAAACTGGTTAGTCGGACTCGAGTCCTGGAAGTGGGAAGCACAATGTCTGCACTTTAACCCTTTGACTGTCGCAAGCCCCTTTCTGAAACTGTCATTTTATGTCGCAAAATTTTTAGAAAAAAAAATATTTTTTATTGTGAAATGATGGAGAATATTTTCCCAATGGTAATGACACCAAAAGTATGAAATTTGGTCGAAAACTCACGGAATTACGCTCCCGCGAAGTTAGCGGTCTCAGCGACATATATGCATCGGCGATTTTGCCGACTTTGAGCCCTGTTTTTGGCCAATTTCGTTGTTCCAGTTGACCAAACTCATAGCTATTTTTTTTTAGAACTCCATTTTTTCTATCAGTTGAGTACAAGAAACCCCCCATTTACCGATTTGAACTACCCAATAAAGTGGTCAGAAATTGGCAAATTTCATGCATATTAAAAAAGATGCCAATTTCAAAATAGGGTCCAGAATAAACAATGTAGACATTCTTGGCACTAAAATAACATATCCTCTGTTCATTAGTCACGTCTCTAGACCCCTCTTATATTACTATTGCTTTCGATTTTGATTTTTTATTCATACAAAAAATACAAAATTTACTGTTATGCAGACTACTGCATTATTGTAAAAATGGTATAAATAATATCAATGCACTAGTGAAAGAATATTAGACTCACTAGTTGACATGTATTGGATGTGTGGTGTGATTTGCTTACTCCTGAACATTGGTAAAAATCGAACATTTCCGCTACTTTGAGCTCAATTTCAAGGTCATTTTCATCGTGAAACTAATCAAAATCATCTCTGTTTCTGTAATATGTTTTCCATTTTATCATGCGAGACCATGAAAACGAGAATACAACTATAAATACTATACGAAAATACACCTCAAAGTCGACGTTTTAATCCAAAAAGATGGTCATTTTTTTTTCTCATTATGCACTGTGTGCTGCAGGATTTTTTTTGTGATGCACACTGACCACACAGACCCATTCTCTCACATGTGAGCCTACCAGCTTTCTCCTGCTTGATTTGAAGCCGCTAGAATTTACGCGTATAAATACGTCTGAAACAGTGGCACGTAAGATGCATATATACAACCAAAACAGTCAAAGAGCTAACTCTGAGAGGGCCTGTCGACCCTTTAAGGGTCAACAGGCCCTCTCAGAGACTTGTTCTCAGGGTCAGCCAAATTTCAAAAAAAAACAAAAAATTATTTTTTCTTATGAAAAGATAGAGAATCTTTTCCCGATCATAATGACACCAAAGTATGAAATTTGATGTAAAACTTACGGAATTATGCTCTCGCGAAGTTAGCAGTCTCAACAATATTTACGCATTGGCGATTTTGCCCACTTTGAGCCCTATTTTCGGCCAATACCAGTGTACTAGTCGACAAAAATCATAACTATTTCATTAGAACTCCATTTTTTCTATCGAATGAGTACAAGAAACCACCCATTTACCGATGTCAATTACCCAATACAGTGGTCAGAATTTAGCAATTTTGCCAATTTCACACAAATTTCAAAAGATGCCAATTTCCGACTAGGGTCCAGAATAAACAAGACATTCCTGGCACTAAAATAACATTTCCTCTGTTCATTAGTCACGTCCCCACACCCCTCTTACATTCTTTTGCTATCCACTTTGAATTTTTATTCTCACAAAAAAATAGAAGATTTACTGTTATGCAGACTACTGCATTAGTGTAGAAATGGTATAAATAATATCAGTGCACTTGTAAAAGAATATTAGACTCACCAGTTAATGTATATTGGACACATAGCATGATTTGTTTACTTTTGAACTTTGGTAAAAATCAAACATTTCTGCTACTTTGAGCTCAATTTCAAGGTACTTTTCATTGTAAAACCAGTCAAAATCATCTCAATTTCTGTAATATGTCTTCCATTCTATAAAATGAGACCAGGAAAACTAGAATACAACAATAAATACCATACAAAAATACAGTGGAAAGTCGCTGTTTTAATCCAAAAACAGGGTCAAAGTTTTTTTTTTCTCATTACGCACTGTGTGCTGCAGGATTTTTATACCACGCAGACTGACCACATAGACCCATTCTTTCATATGTAGGCCTACCAGCTTTCTCTCATTAGATTTGAGGGCGCTAGAATTTAGGCGTACTAGTACGTCAAAACACTGGTTCGTAAGCCATACTAGTATGGCCAAAACCCTGAAAGGGTTAAAGGAGGGGTTTGGGATATTGGCAGTTTGGAGGGACATCTAAACTGTCATATCTGAGTGCCTCTGTAAAGACAGTGATTATGTATGAGTGATGATGGAAGTGTTGAATGATGATGAGTTTTTTTTCTTTCTTTTTGGGTCACCCTGCCTCGGTAGGAAATGGCCAATGTGTTAAAAAAAAAAAAAATATGCATATTCGTATTAAGGATTATTGGGAGTCATGTTTTCGAACATACCGAAGACTGACATCATTACAGTGTATTTCATAAGGATAATTTCTAATATCCTAGGTAGTAGGTTGGTAGACAGCAACCACCCAGGGAGGTACTACCATCCTGCCAAGTGAGTGTAAAATGGAAGCCTGTAATTGTTTTACACAATGGTAGGATTGCTGGTGTCTTTTTTTCTGTCTCATACATATGCAAGATTTCAGGTATATCTTGCTACTTCTACTTACACTTAGGTCACACTACACATACATGTACAAGCATATATATACACACCCCTCTGGGTTTTCTTCTATTTTCTTTCTAGTTCTTTTTCTTGTTTATTTCCTCTTGCCTCCATGGGAAAGTGGAACAGAATTCTTCCTCCATAAGCCATGCGTGTTGTAAGAAGCGACTAAAATGCCGGGATCAAGAGGCTAGTAACCCCTTCTCCTGTATATATTACTAAATGTAAAAGAAGAAACTTTCGTTTTTCCTTTTGGGCCACCCCGCCTCGGTGGGATACGGTAGGTGTGTTGAAAGAAAGAATTTCTAATATCCTAGGTAGTAGGTTGGTAGACAGCAACCACCCAGGGAGGTACTACCATCCTGCCAAGCGAGTGTAAAACAAAAGCCTGTAATTGTTTTACATGATGGTAGGATCGCTGGTGTCTTTTTTCTGTCTCATAAACATGCAAGATTTCAGGTACATCTTGCTACTTCTACTTACACTTAGGTCACACTACACATGCATGTACAAGCATATATATACACACCCCTCTGAGTTTTCTTCTATTTTCTTACTAGTTCTTGTTCTTGTTCATTACCTATTATCTCCATGGGGAAGTGGAACAGAATTCTTCCTAAATTAAGCCATGCATGTTGTAAGAGGCGACTAACATGCCAGGAGCAATGGGCTAGTAATCCCTTCTCCTGTATACATTACTGAAGTTAAAAAGAGAAACTTTTGTTTTTCTTTTCAGGCCACCCTCTTTGGTGGGATACAGCCGATGCTTTGAAAGAATTTCTAATATACTACCTGCACTGTTAGTACTGTTGACTGTGGGAGATGATTAATGTGATAAGAACTATAAATAAATTTCTCCAACTTACAAAGTCAAGCTGAAGAAATGTAACAGAAGCAGTACTAACCTTGTTATGCACAATGCAGAGGTCTGTCAGGTCCAGTACCTTAGCACTGCTGATGACATTTTTTAAAAATTGACTGGTAGCCATTGCTTTCTCACCAGGTGGCCCTATCTGAAATTATTGTTTCAATAAATTAAAATATTTAACAAACTCAAAATGACTGCACAAGCCAAATACTGTTACATATAAGCATAATTTAAAAATAGGAGACTACAGCACATTATTATAGTATTGTTTATCTCTTAAGAAACACTAGCATGGGGGATACAGCCATCTATGTTATGATTTTCCTCTGGTAAGTTTTAAGAGTTTATGTTGAAACACCAGCAGGTGGTCTGCTGTATATGTGTCACCAATGCAGCATATGTTAACTACTTATATCTTAAGACACAAAAGCAGTATTTCTCAGTCAAATTTGCTGGATGACACAAGTCCAAGAATTTGACTGTGGTGACCACTAGTTATCCATTGCAGAGTAAAAAAGGAGAACTTTTATATGCAGTAATTAATATAAAATAATTCTGCTGTCTCTGGGAAGGCAGCCTGAAGCCTAAATGAAAACCCAATCACAGCCCACATGGAAACCTGCTTGAGGCCCCACACGGGGTTTGTGGAAGGTTTTTATAATCACTATCCAATTCCAAGCAATGCATTGTGACCATCACTGGGGAAAAGTTGAAACATTGTACATATGAAGCTAGCCAGTGGCATCACATTACTACTCCTGTAGTGAACATCACACTGTACATATATAATTATTCACATTATATTCACCCTAGTAGTCACTAAAAAAAAAAAAATAAAAAGTAAATCAGTCTTATTCAGTTTCACAACTTATACATCAACTGGAACAATAATTATTATTAAATATGTGAGGTGGATTCCTACTGGCACTGACAACATTCCATGAGGTCCACATGTATCTCACAAACATGTATTCTCTGTGGATGTATTTTTGCTGTTTGGCCATGACCTTTGCTCTTTCAAAGCTTATTTAACTGTACATATGGAGTGCCTAAATCTAAAATAGTTTCTGGTGTTGACTCCATTTCCTGCTCCTCTTGCCCTCTCCAATATAATGGTAAAACTGACTTCTCTCTTTCTGATAAACTTGGACACAAAAGAAACATTGATCCTACTGACACACAATACACTTTTCTGTCATGTTAGAGATCATACACATCCTATATACTTGTTCTCTGCTAAAACTAATTCCCCACTCTTCTAGTTTTCACAGAAGCTGTCTTGCAGAATAAGCCCATATGCACAACTTTCCTAACAGGAATCTTTGTCCCAGATCTGTATCTATAAATGTCTACATTTCTCGAGACACAGTCTTTCATACTTCGTTTACTTTTCACAAACTTGAATGAAAGATTTGGTTCTGCCTTGCCTACTGTCTACCTCATTTTCAAAGTTTCTTTCCTCCTCACATCTTACATTTGTATATTAATTTCTGGCTGGTTTATATCTAAAAATCCTTGAGGTAGCATGTTTCTTGTGGTGTTTCTGGATCATATTTTTTCATGATTTTTTAGAACCATCTATTGAACCATTCTTTTCTGTTAAATCTATTTTTCCGTTTGGGAATAAACTGAGTGATACCATTTTCTAATACTGTATTTTACACCTATCATATTTATGTCTGTTCCTTATATGATTTTATTCTAGTTAATTTTTTGAACTATGGCTTTAGATAGCATATTTTACATTCCTGTTGTGTTTTCTTTTCCCAAGTAATATTAGCACCACATACACAGCATTATTTCCCAAAGAACATGACTATTCTTCCCAAGTGTGTTTAAACAGCAGATATTATTTGCTGTATAATTATGGTAATGGCTAATTCTGGAGTATTATGTGACCAATGTGAAGTCGAGGTGATGGGGAGAATCTTTACTTGATATCCTGTTTTGAAGTACATACAATGAACCCCTAAAAATATTTAAGAAGCCGCCATCTTCTGAACTGGCAACTGGAAACCTTAATGAGAACACGATAATATTGGAAAATTTTTAGTTTCCTGAAGTAGTTTCATTGTATTGTAAATATTGGAGGGCTCTGTTTCAGAATCTCCACGACTATGGTGCTGTTCCCACCTACTCCTAGGTTGAGGGACTGATTACCTCATCTTCTGTACATAGTTCTACTGTCTTCAAGTTATGTCCTGGAATTTGTATTGGTAAAGCCACTGGATGGCGAAACGTCTACAATAAAGATACCCAGATGTTGCACATGTGTCTTACTCTCATTGGAGGGCTCTGCATATCTGGCACCCTCTTTTCAGTGTTCCATGTTTTTGTTGGTTTTTAATTGATCCATTGTTCATTATGTTCAGTGCTTTTACCGCTTTTCTGCCGATTTCACACAACAATTGCATGAGGGAAGGGCTACCAGCACCATATTTTAAGGTATTACATGTACTGTGTATTTATTTTACTTTCTTATCTGTTTTTTAAGCCTATCTGTGTTGAGCACTTAATATATGATAGCGTAAACCCACATTCAAAAAAACACTCTTTTTCCACCTACCAGCAATTTTTGCTTATTGCAGGGGTCAGGAACCTAAGAGCTATGTAAACAGGGCTTCTCCTGCATTACATTTGCATGAAAGTGCAATTAGGACTTTTGAAAACACTCTTCCCTTAACCATCACCCCAACTAACATGGAAGGAACCCAGCAAAAAGGAGTTCAAAGGGAATGTTAGTCTCTGCCAAGACAGCCGATTAGCTTAAGCAAAAATAGCTTCTTAAAAAGCAAGAGATCACAGGTGGTCCCCACATTAATTGGAAAGCCAAAAACTTTTTTAAAATTAAGCAAATTGTCTGTCAGAGCTGTGTAACAAGTTTAATATTAGACTTCTGCAGATAAAATGGAAGCACAGGGAGGAATAGGATGATTAAGAGGGTGTGTAAATCTAGGGTGTAAGGTAGGAGGGGAAGAGAGGTAGTGTCCTGAGCTGTTGGAGAGAGGAGCTATTAAAAGACTGAAATTTGAGGGTTTGAACATCCAGCAGGCTTGTGCGAGTATGTTAGATAGGAGTGAATGGAGACAAGTGGTTGTTAAAGGACCTAACATTAGAGTGCAAGTAAGGTAACTTTTATGAAGGGATTCAGGAAAACTGGTTAGCCGGGCTCAAATCCTGGCGGTCAGAAGGGCAGTGCCTGCACCGAAGAAGGGGTGGGGATGCTGCACTCGGAGGGCAATCTGAATCATGATGTTAACACACTTTTGGAAAGACAGTGATAGATTAAATAATGATGACTTAAGACTTTTTTCAGGCTAAGCTGAAGCACTGTGAATAAGGATATGCTAACTAATGAATCATTTAACACCAAATGAGTAAACACATCTTGTCTGAAAACTAATAAAGAAAAACTAAGTGTTGCTGTCTATGGATCAGGAAAAGTGGCCTCCTGAATCCTACTAGCAAGTGTTTTTTTCTCCTGACTAAGAAAGTGGACTCAATAAGTATCCACTACTTGCAGTCACATTAGTTACATCATGAAGAATGGAATAACAAACCACTTAAGTGAAATGCACTGTTAAATGATTCTCTTTTGGCACTCCAATAATTAAAGCAATTAATTTTTCTACACAAAGTATTGTTAAGCACAAAGAAAGCCACTAATATGTGTGAGCTTCAGCCATAATTCTGGTTATAATTACATACATACCAGGACCCACACGTTACTGAATTCACAAACACAATGAGTAACTGTATGTTGCTACCAACAGTAACAAAACCTACAAGAGTTACAGAGACTAGTGTTTCCCTACTTGACCACATCTGGACCAACACCATATCCCCTTTAAAATCAGGCATAATTACAGATAATACCACAGACCACTACCCGACTTTCCTCATAACAACTCTTGGTAAATTACCCCAAGACACTACTAAAGTCACCTTCAGACTTCACAATGAGGCAGCCATTAATAACTTCACAACAGCAGTAGCAAACATTGACTGGCACACTGAGCTAGAAATCTATACAGATATTGACGAATGTATTAATAATTTTCTAAAAAAGACCCAATACCTCTATAACAAGCACTGCCCTAAAAAAACTAAACAGATGACAGCTAAGAGACTGAACAGTCCCTGGCTAACACCCAGCATTCTCAAATCCATAAATACAAAACACCAATATGAAAAACAGTACAGAATGGGTCACATAACCAGAGACCAAACAAAACGTTACTCGTCAATCCTAACCAGCCTGATAAGAAGGGCAAAAAAATTGTATTATGAGAACAGATTATCCAACTTACGAGGTGATATAAAAAAGACCTGGAAAAACCCTATCAGAAATTCTAGGAACAAAAAAGATATCACGAAATAGCGAAATAAAATTAGCAAAATCAGATGAACCCCAACTCCCACCAACAGAAACAGCAAACAGACTCAATGATTTCTTCTCCACTATAGGACAACACCTTGCCAATAAAATCCCAAGCTCAGATACCCCACCAAATGACTACCTCACCGGCAACTACCCGAACACACTGTTCCTAGCTCCGACTAACCCATACGAAGTCTCCCTTATTATCAACACACTAAAAAACAAGGCAGGAGATTTAAATACCTTACCACCCTTTATATACAAAAAAGTGTCACAAGTGCTATCACCAATCATTGCAACACTCTTTAACAAATCCATTGAATCCTCCACCTTCCCTACAGTACTCAAAATAGCAAGGGTCACCCCGATCCACAAAGGAGGAGACCAAACAGAGTTGAATAACTATAGGCCAATATCCAACTTACACCCTCTCTCAAAAATCTTCGAAAAATTAATTCATAAACGAATCTACTCCTACCTTATCTCCCAAAACATACTCAACCCCTGCCAATTTGGATTCAGGCCTAATAAAAATACTAATGATGCTATTATACACATGCTAGAACATATATACACTGCAATAGAGAAAAAAGAAGTCCCACTGGGGATCTTCATTGACTTACGTAAAGCTTTTGATACAGTTGACCATGACTTGCTCCACGTAAAATTGTCACACTATGGTATAAGAGGGCACTCCCTCAACTACCTCAAGTCATACCTCAGCAACAGAAGCCAATATGTGTATGCAAATGGGGCAAACTCCTCTGCACAACCAATTACAGTTGGTGTCCCACAGGGAAGTGTCCTTGGCCCTCTTCTCTTTCTCCTATACATAAATGACCTACCAAATGCTTCACAATTACTCAAACCCACACTATTTGCAGATGACACTACATACGTCTTCTCCCACCCGAGCCCAGTCACGCTAGCCAATACTGTAAATACCGAATTACAGAAAATATCTACCTGGATGAGAACTAACAAACTTACACTAAACATTGACAAAACCTTCTTCATTCAGTTTGGTAACAGAGCTACAGATGTCCCTCTTAACATAATGATAGACGGATCACCTATCACAAAGCTAACAGAGGGAAAATTCTTAGGAATCCACCTTGATAATAGACTCAAATTTCATACACATATACAACAAATTTCTAAGAAAATTTCCAAGACTGTAGGCATACTATCGAAGATACGGTACTATGCTCCACAGTCAGCCCTCCTGGCCCTATATCACTCTCTTATTTACCCCTATCTCACCTATGGAATTTGTGCATGGGGCTCAACAACAAGTAACCATCTCAGACCACTAATTACCCAACAAAAGGTTGCAGTTAGAATGATAACAAATTCTCACTATAGGCAGCACACTCCACCAATATTCAATACACTAAACCTCCTCACCATACAAAACATCCATACTTACTACTGCACCTATTACATACACAGAACACTTAACTCTGATATTAACCCTCCCCTCAAACATCTCCTTGCCAACCTCAACAGAACACATGACCATAACACAAGGCACAGATCACTCTTTGATGTTCCTCGTGTCCATCTCACACTATGTAAAAACTCAATGCACATAAAAGGCCCTAAAATCTGGAATTCATTACCTGTAAATATAAAAGAAACACTACCTGTTTATAAATTCAAGTCTCTTCTCAAAGATCACTTACTCACCCAAAACCAAATAAATACTGAATAAACTGAACCTTATAAATTGTATATCTTAAATGTTTCTCACAATTATATCACATAAATGTTAAACCTAAATCCCAATCTAACTTCATTATTTTTTAAATACACTACCTAACAGAATACTCCATTCTACTGAATGTACAACAATGCATACAACCATATGACCTGTCTTTGTAATACTCACTTGTGCTTTATAGTAACCTGTTTACATTAATGTTTTATCACTGATTTCATCATTGCTTAGTTAATCTTAAGTTAATTTTAAGCCAGCCCGTAATGCTATGCATAGTATAAGTGGCTTTGGCATACTGCTCTTACCTGTATTTGTTGTACCTCTGTATGTGTGCTCAAATTTTTAAATAAATAAAATAAATAAATAAATACTGTTGTATTCTGAGCACCTCTGCAAAAACAGTGATTATGTGTGAGTGAGGTGAAAGTGTTGAATGATGATGAAAGTATTTTCTTTTTGGGGATTTTCTTTCTTTTTGGGTCACCCTGCCTCAGTGGGAGACGGCCAACTTGTTAAAAAAAAAAAAAAAAAAAAACTTGCAAAACAAAACCATAGCAGTGAATAATTCCCAAAAGACATTTCCATGAGAGAAAGTGAAAACATAAGTCATGAATTTTCACTTTTTACCATCTTTTTACCACTATAAAAATTTAAATTTTATATTTGGGAGATTCTAAATGTACAAAAGTTCTAAAAAGTATAGAGAATACAATACAAATACTATACATTAAAAACTGTTAAGATATCTCAATAATTCATAATAAAAAGTAATTAAACTCTTGCCTTGAACATGTGAGAACAACATGGATATAGTTCCACATTAGGTACAATGAAGCCTTGGTTTGGGTTCCTGAGTACTGGGGTGGCTATTTCTGCCTTAATACCGCAGATGACAGTGGTGTGGCCCACACGTACAGTGGATGAACCATCAGCTGTAGTTATAGTCCCAACTTTGACAGTGATGGGCCGGACACTCATCAGTCCTCGACCATCTGGTCTCTTGTTTTTCTCCAGGAAGCTCCTGTTAATATACTGCAATCAGTTATAACAAATCTTAGAGGGCTGATATTACTCAAATGCATAAATCAAAAGGTCTTTTACATCCCTTTCCCTCCAGAGAGTAAGCACCTGAATTTTGTCAACTCAGTGCTAATTCTCAATCTCAATTATTAACTAATTCTCACTAAGCCTGACACTATCATCGATTTCAATTACTCTCCTCTAGCCTGTAGTTAACTAGAGGCTCTTCAAGAACAAAATGAGCTACTGAAGAACAAGTTCGTTCAGAATGCACCTACTTGTTGGAACAGTTTTTATTTAATGTTAGATCATATCTATGAACAAAACAAAAGCTATTGTAATGTCCAGTACTGCTTAAATAACATGCATGTTCCAACATTTGAAGGACATAAGTGAATTCTAATTGCCAGGCAATCTTCTCCATTGAAAATGTCTCGCAAAACAGCAAAAGAAATTGTCTTATCTCAGAAATACTGCCCCTCAAGGAAGGTTCCTTGATGCTGGTGAGGGGCTCTGGATCTAGGAAATTGGATCTGTGATCCAGTTCCCTGAATTAAGCCTGAATACCTTCCATATTCCCCCACAAGCGCTGTATAATCCTATGGGTTTAGTGCTTCCCCCTTGATTATAATAATCAGAAATACTGCTTCAAGTACAATACTTGAAGCATTTCATCATCAGAGCTTTCAGTTTCTTCAGTCCTGGATACTACTTAAAGGGTGTTTCAAGGGTACACAAGGTACAATGCCCCAACGGCTCAGTCCCAGCCAGGCCTCCTGGTAGATCAAGGACTGATCAACCAGTCTGTTACTGCTGGCCATATGCAGTTCAACATATGACCCACAGTCTGGCTGGTTAGGAACTGATCTGAGGAACTTGTCAAGTTCATATCTTGAATGATTTTTACTGTATCTAATAGATAGGCTGATTATAGTCAGGTATTACAAGGACCTCAGTTAAAGTAAGTTACTTGGTTTAACTTTTATTGGGTTATCCTAGGTAATTTACATATATTACTATGCTAGACAACTGTAATAACCAAAAATGTGTGTACCTGTACATAAATTACCTTACATACATACTTTACTTACTTACCCACTTTACTTGACTTACTTACCTACTTTTATGTATTTACTTACTTTTTACCTGCCTTTACTTTCTAAACTGCTGTCACACTGTGGGTAAAAAAGCTGTAAGTGTGTAAATTTATTTATACATAGGTACACATAAGTATAATTATCATACCTGGAGAGTTTACCTGGAGAGAGTTTCGGGGGTCAACGCCCCCGCGGCCCGGTCTGTGACCAGGCCTCCTGGTGGATCAGCCCCTGATCAACCAGGCTGTTGCTGCTGGCTGCACACAAACCAACGTACGAGCCACAGCCCGGCTGATCAGGAACTGACTTTAGGTGCTTGTCCAGTGCCAGCTTCAAGACTGCCAGGGGTCTGTTGGTAATCCCCCTAATGTGTGCTGGGAGGCAGTTGAACAGTCTCGGGCCCCTGACACTTATTGTATGGTCTCTTAAAACGTGCTAGTGACACCCCTGCTTTTCATTAGGGGGATGGTGCATCGTCTGCCAAGTCTTTTGCTTTCGTAGTGAGTGATTTTCGTGTGCAAGTTCGGTACTAGTCCCTCTAGGATTTTCCAGGTGTATATAATCATGTATCTCTCCCTCCTGCGTTCCAGGGAATACAGGTTTAGAAACCTCAAGCGCTCCAGTAATTGAGGTGTTTTATCTCCGTTATGCGCGCGTGAAAGTTCTCTGTACATTTTCTAGGTCGGCAATTTCACCTGCCTTGAAAGGTGCTGTTAGTGTGCAGCAATATTCCAGCCTAGATAGAACAAGTGACCTGAAGAGTGTCATCATGGGCTTGGCCTCCCTAGTTTTGAAGGTTCTCATTATCCATCCTGTCATTTTCTAGCAGATGCGATTGATACAATGTGTGTAAATTACCTTATCTTATTTTATCTTAACCCCAAAAAATCACTGATTTATTTTCATTGGTGCATGGAACTTCAGACCTGCTGGAAGCTTGCAGTATATAGCTTACAACTGAAGGCTTACAGTCTGTAGCTTACAGCTAAAGCTTACAGTCTGCAGCTTACAGATGGAAGCATACAGTCTGTAGCCTACATCTGGAAGCTTACAGTCTGTAGCTTACAGTTAGAAGCTAACAGTCTGTAGCTTACAGCTAAAAAGCTTACAGTCTGAAGCTTACAGCTGGAAGCTTACAGCCTGTAGCTTACAGCTGGAAACTTACAGCTAGAAGCTTACAGTCTGTAGCTTACAGCTGGAAGCTTACAGTCTGTAGCTTACAGCTAGAAGCTTATGGTCTGTAGCTTACAGCTGGAAACTTACAGTCTGTAGCTTATGGTTAGAAGCTAACAGTCTGTAGCTTACAGCTTGAAGTTTTACAGTCTGTAGCTTACAGTCTGCAGCTTACAGCTGGAAGCTTACAGTCTATAGCTTACAGCTGGAAGCTTACAGTCTGTAGCTTACATCTGGAAGCTTACAGTCTGTAGCTTACAGTTAAAAGCTTACAGTTTGTAGCTTACAGCTGGAAGCTTACAGTCTGTAGCTTACAGTCTGTAGCTTACAGCTGGAAGCTTACAGTCTGTAGCTTACAGCTGGAAAAATACAGTCTGTAGCTTACAGTTCGAAGCATACAGTCTGTAGCTTACAGTCTGTAGCTTACAGCTAGAGGCTTACAGTCTGTAGCTTACAGCTGGAAGCTTACAGTCTGTAGCTTACAGCTGGAAGCTTACAGTCTGTAGATTACAGCTGGAAGCTTACAGTCTGTAGCTTACAGCTGGAAGCTTACAGTCTGTAGCTTACAGCTGGAAGCTTACAGTCTGTAGCTTACAGTTGGAAGCTTACAGTCTGTAGCTTACAGCTGGAAGCTTACGGTCTGTAGCTTACAGCTGGAAGCTTACAGTCTATAGCTTACAGCTGGAAGCTTACAGTCTGTAGCTTACATCCAGAAGCTTACAGTCTGTAGCTTACAGTTAGAAGCTTACAGTCTTTAGCTTACAGCTGGAAGCTTACAGTCTGTAGCTTACAGTTAGAAGCTTACAGTCTGTAGCTTACAGCTGGAAGCTTACAGTCTGTAGCTTACAGCTGGAAGCTTACAGTCTGTAGCTTTACAGTTGGAAGCATACAGTCTGTAGCTTACAGCTGGAAGCTTACAGCTGGAAGCTTACAGTCTGCAGCTTACAGCTGGAAGCTTACAGTCTGTAGCTTACAGCTAGAGGCTTACAGACTGTAGCTTACAGCTGGAAGCTTACAGTCTGTAGCTTACAGCTGGAAGCTTACAGTCTGTAGCTTACAGCTAGAGGCTTACAGTCTGTAGATTACAGCTGGAAGCTTACAGTCTGTAGCTTACAGCTGGAAGCTTACAGTCTGTAGATTACAGCTGGAAGCTTACAGTCTGTAGCTTACAGCTGGAAGCTTATAGTCTGTAGCTTACAGCTGGAAGCTTACAGTCTGTAGCTTACAGCTGGAAGCTTACAGTCTGTAGCTTACAGCTGGAAGCTTACAGTCTGTAGCTTACAGCTGGAAGCTTACAGTCTGTAGCTTACAGCTGGAAGCTAACAGTCTGTAGCTTACAGCTGAAAGCTTAGTCTGTAGCTTACAGCTGGAAGCTTACAGTCTGTAGCTTATAGATGGAAGCTAACAGTCTGCAGCTTACAGCTGGAAGCTTACAGTCTGTAGCTTACAGCTGAAAGCTTACAGTCTGTAGCTTAATAATAATATCTTTATTTTACTACAAGTACATGTACAAGGTATACAGTCCTAGCTGATAACAATGACATACTACTATATATAAAGTTCCTTGCTATGCTCCGCATTTCGGGTAAATTAGGTCAGTGTCCCAGGATGTGACCCACACCAGTCCACTAACACCCAGGATGTGACCCACACCAGTCCACTAACACCCAGGATGCGACCCACACCAGTCCACTAACACCCAGGATGCGACCCACACAGTCCACTAACAACCCAGGATGCGACCACACCAGTCCACTAACACTCAGGATGCAACCCACACCAGTCCACTAACACCCAGGATGTGACCCACACCAGTCCACTAACACCCAGGATGTGACCCACACCAGTCCACTAACACCCAGGATGCAACCCACACCAGTCCACTAACACCCAGGATGTGACCCACACCAGTCCTAACACCCAGGATGTGACCACACCAGTCCACTAACACCCAGGATGTGACCCACACCATTCCACTAACACCCAGGATGTGACCCACACCAGTCCACTAACACCCAGGATGTGACCCACACCAGTCCACTAACACCCAGGATGCGACCCACACCAGTCCACTAAAAACACCCAGGATGTGACCCACACCAGTCACTAACACCCAGGATGCGACCCACACCAGTCCACTAACACCCAGGATGCGACCCACACCAGTCCACTAACACCCAGGATGCGACCCACACCAGTCCACTAACACCCAGGATGCAACCCACACCAGTCCACTAACACCCAGGATGCGACCCACACCAGTCCACTAACACCCAAGATGCGACCCACACCAGTCCACTAACACCCAGGATGCGACCCACCACCAGTCCACTAACACCCAGGATGCGACCCACACCAGTCCACTAACACCCAGGATGTGACCCACACCAGTCCACTAACACCCAGGATGTGACCCACACCAGTCCACTAACACCCAGGATGCGACGCACACCAGTCCACTAACACCCAGGATGCGACCCACACCAGTCCACTAACACCCAGGATGTGACCCACACCAGTCCACTAACACCCAGGATGTGACCCACACCAGTCCACTAACACCCAGGATGCGACCCACACCAGTCCACTAACACTCAGGATGTGACCCACATCAGTCGACTAACACCCAGGATGCGACCCACACCAGTCCACTAACACCCAGGATGTGACCCACACCAGTCCACTAACACCCAGGATGTGACCCACACCAGTCCACTAACACCCAGGATGTGACCCACACCAGTCAACTAACACCCAGGATGCGACCCACACCAGTCCACTAACACCAGGATGTGACCCACACCAGTCCACTAACACCCAGGATGTGACCCACACCAGTCCACTAACACCCAGGATGTGACCCACACCAGTCCACAAACACCCAGGATGCGACCCACACCAGTCCACTAACACCCAGGATGTGACCCACACCAGTCCACTAACACCCAGGATGCGACCCACACCAGTCCACTAACACCCAGGATGTGACCACACCAGTCCACTAACACCCAGGATGTGACCCACACCAGTCGACTAACACCCAGGTTGTGACCCACACCAGTCCACTAACACTCAGGATGTGACCCATACCAGTCCACTAACACCCAGGATGCGACCCACACCAGTCCACTAACACTCAGGATGTGACCCACACCAGTCCACTAACACCCAGGATGTGACCCACACCAGTCGACTAACACCCAGGATGCCACCCACACCAGTCCACCAACACCCAGGATGTGACCCACACCAGTCCACCAACACCCAGGATGTGACCCACGCCAGTCCACCAACACCCAGGATGTGACCCACGTCAGTCCACCAACACCCAGGATGTGACCCACACCAGTCCAGCAACACCCAGGATGTGACCCACACCAGTCCACTAACACTCAGGATGGGACCCATACCAGTCCACTAACACCCAGGATGCGACCCACACCAGTCCACTAACACTCAGGATGTGACCCACACCAGTCCACTAACACCCAGGATGTGACCCACACCAGTCGACTAACACCCAGGATGCCACCCACACCAGTCCACTAACACCCAGGATGTGACCCACACCAGTCCACCAACACCCAGGATGTGACCCACACCAGTCCACCAACACCCAGGATGTGACCCACACCAGTCCACAACACCCAGGATGTGACCCACACCAGTCCACCAACACCCAGGATGTGACCCACACCAGTCCACCAACACCCAGGATGTGACCCACACCAGTCCACCAACACCCAGGATGTGACCCACACCAGTCCACCAACACCCAGGATGTGACCCACACCAGTCCACCAACACCCAGGATGTGACCCACACACGTCCACCAACACCCAGGATGCGACCCACACCAGTCCACCAACACCAAGGATGCGACCCACACCAGTCCACCAACACCCAGGATGTGACCCACACCAGTCCACCAACACCCAGGATGCGACCCACACCAGTCCACCAACACCCAGGATGTGACCCACACCAGTCCACCAACACCCAGGATGCGACCCACACCAGTCCACCAACATCCAGTATGTGACCCACACCAGTCCACCAACACCCAGGATGCGACCCACACCAGTCCACTAACACCCAGGATGCGACCACACCAGTCCACTAACACCCAGGATGCGACCACACCAGTCCACTAACACCCAGGATGCGACCCACTCCAGTCCACTAACACCCAGGATGCGACCCACACCAGTCCACTAACACCCAGGATGCGACCCACACCAGTCCACTAACACCCAGGATGTGACCCACACCAGTCCACTAACACCCAGGATGTGACCCACACCAGTCCACCAACACCCAGGATGTGACCCACACCAGTCCACTAACACCCAGGATGTGACCCACACCAGTCCACTAACACCCAGGATGTGACCCACACCAGTCCACCAACACCCAGGATGTGATCCACACTAGTCCACCAACACCCAGGATGTGACCCACACCAGTCCACCAACACCCAGGATGTGACCCACACCAGTACACCAACACCCAGGATGTGACCCACACCAGTTTACCTGGAGTTTACCTGGAGAGAGTTTCGGGGGTCAACGCCCCCGCGGCCCGGTCTGTGACCAGGCCTCCTGGTGGATCAGCGCCTGATCAACCAGGCTGTTGCTGCTGGCTGCACGCAAACCAACGTACGAGCCACAGCCCGGCTGATCAGGAACTGCCTTTATGTGCTTGTCCAGTGCCAGCTTGAAGACTGCCAGGGGTCTGTTGGTAATCCCCCTTATGTGTGCTGGGAGGCAGTTGAACAGTCTCGGTCCCCTGACACTTATTGTATGGTCTCTTAACGTGCTAGTGACACCCCTGCTTTTCATTGGGGGGATGGTGCATCGTCTGCCAAGTCTTTTGCTTTCGTAGTGAGTGATTTTCGTGTGCAAGTTCGGTACTAGTCCCTCTAGGATTTTCCAGGTGTATATAATCATGTATCTCTCCCTCCTGCGTTCCAGGGAATACAGGTTTAGAAACTCAAGCGCTCCCAGTAATTGAGGTGTTTTATCTCCGTTATGCGCGCCGTGAAAGTTCTCTGTACATTTTCTAGGTCGGCAATTTCACCTGCCTTGAAAGGTGCTGTTAGAGTGCAGCAATATTCCAGCCTAGATAGAACAAGTGACCTGAAGAGTGTCATCATGGGCTTGGCCTCCCTAGTTTTGAAGGTTCTCATTATCCATCCTGTCATTTTTCTAGCAGATGCGATTGATACAATGTTATGGTCCTTGAAGGTGAGATCCTCCGACATGATCACTCCCAGGTCTTTGACGTTGGTGTTTCGCTCTATTTTGTCCACCAACACCCAGGATGCGACCCACACCAGTCCACCAACACCCAGGATGTGACCCACACCAGTCCACCAACACCCAGGATGCGACCCACACCAGTCCACCAACACCCAGGATGTGACCCACACCAGTCCACTAACACCCAGGATGTGACCCACACCAGTCACCAACACCCAGGATGTGACCCACACAGTCCACCAACACCCAGGATGTGACCCACACCAGTCCACTAACACCAGGATGTGACCCACACCAGTCCACCAACACCCAGGTTGTGACCCACACCAGTCCACCAACACCCAGGATATGACCCATACCAGTCCACCAACACCCAGGATGTGACCCACACCAGTCCACCAACACCCAGGATGTGACCCACACCAGTCCACCAACACCCAGGATGTGACCCACACCAGTCCACTAACACCCAGGATGTGACCCACACCAGTCCACCAACACCCAGGTTGTGACCCACACCAGTCCACCAACACCCAGGATATGACCCATACCAGTCCACTAACACCCAGGATGTGACCCACACCAGTCCACCAACACCAGGTTGTGAACCACACCAGTCCACCAACACCCAGGATGTGACCCACACCAGTCCACCAACACCCAGGTTGTGACCCACACCAGTCCACCAACACCCAGGTTGTGACCCACACCAGTCCACTAACACCCAGGATGTGACACACACCAGTCCACCAACACCCAGGATGTGACACACACCAGTCCACTAACACCCAGGATGTGACCCACACCAGTCCACCAACACCCAGGTTGTGACCCACACCAGTCCACCAACACCCAGGGATGTGACCCACACCAGTCCACCAACACCCAGGTTGTGACCCACACCAGTCCACCAACACCCAGGATGTGACCCACACCAGTCCACCAACACCCAGGTTGTGACCCACACCAGTCCACCAACACCCAGGATGTGACCCACACCAGTCCACTAACACCCAGGTAACCATCTTACTGATGGGGAACATAGACAACAGGTGGAAAGAAACACGTCCAATGTTTCTACTCTGGCTGGGAATCGAACCCAGACCCTCGCCGTGTGAAGCGAGAGCGTTAACCACCAGGCCACCACTTACAGCTGGAAGCTTACAGTCTGCAGCTTACAGCTGGAAGCTTACAGTCTGTAGCTTATAGCTGGAAGCTAACATCTATACCATTATTTTAAATTTACTCTCCACGATGGCGCTATGAAAGGTAGCACAACGTGGCATAACTAATGAAAATAAAATCAATATGGCAGTATCTCTCACTTGTAGTAAGTATCAGGCTCAAAAGTCTTCCAGATGTCCATTGTCGTCATGATGGACTCGTATAATATAACAGTAATGTTTTAAACAATGTTAAAAACGACGTGAAAACTACAAAATTCTTGTTGTTGTTTGTGTTTGTAAGGGTCAGTGACGACTCAGTGTCCAGCTTCTCTCTTCTATATGTAAAATGATAGTTATTCTATATAAAATGTATTTTTCTTTTATATTTCCCATAAGAAATAATGTAAATTCAATTAATCCATTCCAGACACCCAAAAATATTAATAAAAAATACATTTTATAGAGAATAAATATAGTTTTATATACAGAAGAGGGATGATGAAATTCGAGGGGTAACTGTTAAAGAAATATTGCACAAAAAGGAATAAGAATGAGAACGTTTTTTTGACATGATACATAGTTGTACAAAGGAATATAACAGTTGGGTGTACATCCCAAAAGCCCCTTTGTATGTAGAGAATTATGGGCAGATGAGTACAGTAATTACAGCTTTAAAATTAGTTAACAAAAATTACATTGTAACAAACAATGGTACAATTTTAATTAATTTACAATGTGGAAATATTACAATGGAACAAATTAAAAACAAGTAAGTTTATTCTGGTATACACAAGCACAGTTACATAGATTATCATACATAGCAGCATATATGTAGAAAACCTGGGATAACCCAAAAAAATCAGATAAAGTGACATGTCCATTGGGCTCCCAAGCTTAGCCATGAAAGAAGAGGGAACAGGAGTTCTTTCAGCAAGTTTATTTAGGTACAGGTACACATAAATACAATTACGCAAATTATCATACATAGTTGTATGTGTAAATTATCATACATAGTTGTATGTGTAAATTATCATACATAGTTGTATGTGTAAATTATCATACATAGTTGTATGTGTAAATTATCATACATAGTTGTATGTGTAAATTATCATACATAGTTGTATGTGTAAATTATCATACATAGTTGTATGTGTAAATTATCATACATAGTTGTATGTGTAAATTATCATACATAGTTGTATGTGTAAATTATCATACATAGTTGTATGTGTAAATTATCATACATAGTTGTATGTGTAAATTATCATACATAGTTGTATGTGTAAATTATCATACATAGTTGTATGTGTAAATTCTCATACATAGATGTGTGTAAATTATCATACATAGTTGTATGTGTAAATTATCATACATAGTTGTATGTGTAAATTATCATACATAGTTGTATGTGTAAATTCTCATACATAGTTGTATGTGTAAATTATCATACATAGTTGTATGTGTAAATTATCATACATAATTGTATGTGTAAATTACCTAGGATAACCCCTCCCCTAAGTAACTCGTCTATGTGAAGATCAGTCACAATAAAAGGAGATATAATAGGAATAAGATAAACTGACAAAATTAAATTAACATGAAAGAGAGGACGAGCTTACAATAATAGATATATGGATGATAGCTATAGAAGAAATCATTCTCTTCCACATCTGTAGCTTCATTCATTAAGTACAATACAAAACAATTTATATTTCTTTATACTTACAAGTAATGTAGTTTGCATGTAATAAAACACTGGTAGGCCCAGAAGAAAGTCACTTGTATGCAATGCATTTCGAAAAAACTAGTCCTAATGCTTAAATGTTATTTGCGTTGGTGCTAACTATTAAACTAACGTTGGCTGTATAGCATGTGTGTGTGTGTGTGTGTGTGTGTGTGTGTGTGTGTGTGTGTGTGTGTGTGTGTGTGTGTGTGTGTGTGGTGTGTGTGACTCAACAATCAATATTTGCACCAATAACTCATTACAGTTGTGACCGGGTGTGGAAGTGTGAATTGCTCATTACTCTATAATTTGTTCATGATTGTAGCCAAAGTATAAACGTAAGTAACCATTCTACAGAATTCATTACCTTTGTAACTTGTGAGCTCATTACCTTTGTACCTAGTTCAGCTATCAAAACTTTGGGGGCCCAGTCCCTGGACCCATTACGTACCTCTGTAATCTGTAAATACCTTTGTAACTTGTCATGATTGTGACCAGACTTACCTGGAGTTCATTACCTTTGTAAATTGTGAGTTCATTACCTTTGTAAATTGTGAGTTCATTACCTTTGTAAATTGTGAGTTCATTACCTCTGTAACTTGCTCAGCTATCAAAACTTTGGAGTCCAGTCCCTGGACCAATTATGTACCTCTGTAATCTTTTGACTACCGCCCACAGGATGGGTATGGGGTGCATAATAAACATATTAAACTAACTAACTGTATAGCACGGCGGCTTTTTGTTGGGCTATTAATGGTTTTAGGTAATTTGGTGTATACCTGGAGAGGGTTTCGGGGATCAACGCCCCCGCGGCTCTGAGACCAGGCTTCGTGGTGGATCAGGGTCTGATAAACCAGGCTGTTACTGCTGGCCGCACGCAAACTGGCGTACGAACCACAGCCTGGCTGTACCTGTCCAGTGCCTTCTTGAAGACAGCCAGGGGTCTATTGGTAACCCTCCTTTCGTATGCTGGGAGGCACTTGAATAGTCTTGGGCCCCTAACACTTATTGTGCTGTCTCTTATCGTGCTAGTGGCACCCCTGCTTGTCATTGAGGGAATGTTGCATTCCTGCCGAGTCTTTTGCTTTCAAAGGGAGTGATTTTCGTGTGCAAGTTTGGTACTAATCCCTCTAGGATTTTCCAAGTGTATATTATCATGTATCTCTCTCACCTGCGTTCCAGGGAATACATATCAAGTGATTTCAACATTTCCCAGGAATTTAGGTGCCTTATCGTACTTATCACGCGCTTTTAACATCCTATGGAGAGGGAGTATGGACACAGGGGTCGTCACACAGTTACTAAAAACAACAGACATAGCCCCACTCCACAAAGGGGGCAGTAAAGCAATAGCAAAGAACTACAGACCGATAGCACTAACATCCCATATCATAAAAATCTTTGAAAGGGTCCTAAGAAGCAAGATCGCCACCCATCTAGATACCCATCAGTTACACAACCCAGCGCAACATGGGTTTAGAGCAGGTCGCTCCTGTCTGTCCCAACTCAAAACATACTCAACCCCTGCCTGGAGTTACCTGGAGTTTACCTGGAGAGAGTTCCGGGGGTCAACGCCCCTGCGGCCCGGTCTGAGACCAGGCCTCCTGGTGGATCAGAGCCTGATCAACCAGGCTGTTGCTGCTGGCTGCACGCAAACCAATATACGAGCCACAGCCCGGCTGATCCGGAACTGACTTTAGGTGCTTGTCCAGTGCCAGCTTGAAGACTGCCAGGGGTCTGTTGGTAATCCCCCTTATGTGTGCTGGGAGGCAGTTAAACAGTCTCGGGCCCCTGACACTTATTGTATGGTCTCTTAACGTGCTAGTGACACCCCTGCTTTTCATTGGGGGGATGTTGCATCGTCTGCCAAGTCTTTTGCTTTCGTAGTGGGTGATTTTCGTGTGCAAGTTCGGTACTAGTCCCTCTAGGATTTTCCAGGTGTATATAATCATGTATCTCTCCCTCCTGTGTTCCAGGGAATACAGGTTTAGGAACCTCAAGCGCTCCCAGTAATTGAGTGTTTTATCTCCGTATATGCGCCGCCGTGAAAGTTCTCTGTACATTTTCTAGGTCGGCAATTTCACCTGCCTTGAAAGGTGCTGTTAGTGTGCAGCAATATTCCAGCCTAGATAGAACAAGTGACCTGAAGAGTGTCATCATGGGCTTGGCCTCCCTAGTTTTGAAGTTCTCATTATCCATCCTGTCATTTTTCTAGCAGATGCGATTGATTACAATGTTATGGTCCTTGAAGGTGAGATCCTCCGACATGATCACTCCCAGGTCTTTGACGTTGGTGTTTCGCTCTATTTTGTGGCCAGAATTTGTTTTGTACTCTGATGAGATTTAATTTCCTTATGTTTACCATATCTGAGTAATTGAAATTTCTCATCGTTGAACTTCATATTGTTTTCTGCAGCCCACTGAAAGATTTGGTTGATGTCTGCCTGGAGCTTTGCAGTGTCTGCAATGGAAGACACTGTCATGCAGATTCGGGTGTCATCTGCAAACGAAGACACGGTGCTGTGGCTGACATCCTTGTCTATGTCGGATATAAGGATGAGGAACAAGATGGGAGCGAGTACTGTGCCTTGTGGAACAGAGCTTTTCACCGTAGCTGCCTCGGACTTTACTCTGTTGACGACTACTCTCTGTGTTCTGTTAGTGAGGGAAATTATAGATCCATCGACCGACTTTTCCTGTTATTCCTTTAGCACGCATTTTGTGCGCTATTATGCCATGGTCACACTTGTCGAAGGCTTTGCAAAGTCTGTATATATTACATCTGCATTCTTTTTGCCCTTCTAGTGCATTTAGGACCTTGGTCCGAAGTGGTCCAATAGTTGAGACAGACGGGAGCGACCTGTTCTAAACCCATGTTGCCCTGGGTTGTGTAACTGATGGGTTCTAGATGCTGGGTAAATCTTGCTTCTTAGGACCCTTTCAAAGATTTTTATGATATGGGATGTTAGTGTATTGGCTGTAGTTCTTTGCTGTTGTTTTTACTGCCCCCTTTGTGGAGTGGGGCTATGTTGTTTTTTTTAAAGTAACTGTGGACGACCCACGTGTCCATGCCCCCTCTCCATAGGATGGAAAAGGCTCGTGATAGGGCTTCTTGCAGTTCTTGATGAACACAGAGTTCCATGAGTCGGGCCCTGGGGCAGAAGTGCATGGGCATGTCATTTATCGCCTGTTCGAAGTCATTTGGCGTCAGGATAACATGGATAGGCTTGTGTTAATCAAATTTTGTGGCTCTCTCATAAAAATTTTCATTTTGATCTTCGACTCTCAGTCTGGTTAGCGGCTTGCTAAAAACTGAGTCATATTGGGACTTGAGTAGCTCACTCATTTCCTTTTTTGTCATCTGTGTAGGACCCATCTTGTTTAAGTAGGGGCCCAATACTGGGACGTTGTTCTCGATTTTGATTTGGCATAGGAGAAGAAATACTTTGGGTTTCTTTCGATTTCATTTATGGCTTTTAGTTCTTCCCGCGTTTTCCTGACTCCTAAAGGATTCTTTTAGCTTAAGTTCGATGCTTGCTATTTCTCTGACCAGTGTCTCCCTACGCATTTCAGATATATGACCTCTTTTAGCCGCTC